AGCATATACACAAACACGCAATATGACATATATATATGAATTATGCTTGCATACATGGCATACATATACACACATACATATATACATATACACACATGCACACACATTTTCCCAGGTTTGGGGGAAAAATTGTTGCTAAAATTGGAATGGCAAAATTTGCTGATATTATGTTCTTATTAATAGTTACAAGTAAGGATTTCAGCATTCAAAAACTTTTATATTGAATACATTTTAAGTAGCAATGCACTTTTATAAAAGAATATAGCTATAATATACTATAACTCTTCAAGTAACATTAAATCTTTTATTATTTCTGGTGCTCAAGTTCATTGCTTAGAAAGAATGTCCACTAGGCATGCTAAAACCTATCTAGGGGGAAAAAAATAAAATGAACCTATTACAGTCGGTGCCAGTTATTTCAGTGCAATTAATCTATAAAAGTTTTATAATGCAGGTGAGTGTCCAAGTTGAAAGCAATGCAGTAACTCTCTTCCCAAAACAGAGTGGTCTGACACAAACTACACCTTTTGAAGTTGCTGCAGAGTTACTATCATTGGCTTAAAATATAAAATAATATCTGACATGTCCAAACAGTCACAGAGAATAATTTAGACTGACGGGTTTAAAGGAGATGCAGACTTGCCTGAGCTTGGTATTTGTAAATGAGATCTGATTTCTTTTAAACCTTATTTGAATGTGGATTAAACCTTATAAATATAGACTGTTAGATGCTACTTGGTGGGAAGTAAAAGCACAGCTGCCTCTTGTATTTACAAATGGTCCAAAATAACCATATCTGTGCAGATTAAATAATAATAAATGTTCTCACATGTCCCCTGCCAACACACTCTTAACTTTATTAAAAAGCAAAAGATAAAAAAAAACTCATCTGTTGATATAACTGACATAGGAGTAGAGTATGTCATATTTTATATGAAAGCACTATAATTTAGGAATGTGACTCTTAACAGAAAAATAAGATTTAGCTGATCTTAAGATGTACTGGCCAGGTGTGGGGGTGCATACCTATAGTCCCAGCAACTAGGGAGGCTGAGACTAGAGAATCACTATAGCCCAGGGGTTCAAAGGTGCAGTGCACTATGAACATGCCTGTGAAAAGCAACAGTGCTCCAGCCTGGGCAACATGGCAAGACTCTATCTCAAACACACACACACACACACGCACACACACACACACACACACACACACACACACACAGAGGCTTTTAAGCTCTGCAGTACCTTCCAAAGGAGCAAATGTGTTTCAGATCAATGGTGCCCTGTAGTATATGGGCTTTAAGTAGACAATGACCAAATAGTATGATTTGAGGACTTGCACACAGCCCCCTCCACAGTCCACAAATGGCTCTCACATCGAATTAGACTCAACATGCACTGCAAAAATTCATTCCAGTAGATTGAGAGATTGCCCTCTTAAAAGACACATGCCCAAGAGAAGGGACCCAGGGAAATGCTAAGTGGATTAGGCAATTATATCCTCTCTACTGAGAATTAGTGGTTCACTCAGTCTATTTTGATAGAAGAGGAGGAGTGGAAAGGACAAGGTACCAGAGTGTTAAGAATTGAATTAGAAGAATTCATCTTGAACATAAGTTGCAGGTGATAGTAGTATGAGCAGAATAGGGTAAAAACCACTTCAAGCAAGCACAGATCGTCAACATAGCTTCCAGAGCTGCAAGCAGGCAGCTACTTGGTTATGAGGACAAGGGGAAGGTCCCAGCAGGAAAACCCAGGACAACCAGCCCAGCGTTGGGACAGTCTGTATCAGATGGGAAAAGGTACCCAGAGCCAGTACTGCAATGGTTATATCTTTGTTTGGGGTCTTTAAATTTTCAATAAATCCACAAAGAGAATCAGTCACATAGTCTCCATATTCAGAAGATTTTATATAGTCAGTTTCCTTGCTACAGATTTGACTCTGGACAAGGGTAGTTTTTCAGTTGCAGTCCTTTGACAGATAACCAATTTGCCATATTATATCTGAGGGACTTTAGCATTAAAATGATCTTCGATGCCCCCAAACCAGGATGCACCCAAACCAAACATTTCAATCTTTGTCCGAAGAGGAAAGGCTGTGACCTGCCAGAAAGACTGACCTTGAATTCAGCCTGGGTGTTCAGGAAGCATCACTCAGAACTATTGATTTGAAGTTGGGAAGTGAATCAAGAAGTCAGTAACTGTCTAGGAGAAGCCTGTATCAGAACAGTTTCCCTCACTGTGTATACAATACAGGAAAGAAAATACATGGTCCAAATGTGGTGTCTCCAGTGAAAAAGCAGGAATGTGAGATGATGAAAAATACAACATAATGGAGTTGGTCTGAAAGCATTTAAAATCAATAGATCTGGGATTATGTGGCTTTAGCTAGCTGGTTGAGCATCTTTCCCTAAATCCATCTATGTTACCAAATAGCGATTTTCATTTTCGGTTTTTTAGTGCTCATTAACATCACAGTGTTTATTATGTACAAGGATATTGACAATATTATGACCATAGGTCATCAGTACTGTTGTCTCATGTAAAGGTGAGACTGAAATGGTTTGTGTTTGCATTGTTAAATGGTGTATGAAATAGAATGAATGCTATTGTGTAGAAAACTACAATGTTCATTATGAGTGCCAAAATCTGTCTTGAAGGCAGTTACACTCTGAAGTAGTCTTCAAATACTTTTAATACATTTATTTTACTCAGCCGGGCTCGGTGGCTCAGCCTGTAATCCCGCGCCTTTGGGAGGCTGAGGTGAGTGGATTGCCTGAGCCCGCGGGTTCGAGACCCGCCTGGACAGCAAGACCTCATCTCTATAATAAATCAAAAAATCACCTGGGCGTGGTAGTGCATACCTGTAATTCTGGCTACTTGGAAGGCTGAGGCGGAAGGATCACCGGAGCCCAGCAGGTCGAGGTTGCAGTGCCCGGGAGCGGCCACTGCACTCCAGTCTGTGCGACAGAGTGAGATCCCAACTCAAAAAAAAAAAATTTTATTTTACTCACACAGCCTGTAATCCCAGCACGTTGGGAGGGCAAGGCAAGAAGATTGCCTGAGTCCAGAGGTTCGAGACCAGCCTGGGCAACTTGGTAAGACCTCGTCTCTAACAATAAATCACAAAAAACTAGCCAGGTGTGGTGGCATGCATCTGTAGTTCTGGCTACTTGGAAGGCTGAGGTGGAAGGATCGCCCAGCAGCTTGAGGCTGCAGTGGCTGTGAGCATGCCGCTGAACTCCAGCCTGGGTGACAAGAGAGAGATTCCAACTAAAAAAAAAATTTTTTTAATAAATAATGTCCTTGAAAAAAAAAAGTGATCTTGGAGTTCTAGCATAACCTTGTACTCAAAGCTTCTCTATATCATTCCTGGAAAATGCTTAGTTAGTACAACCTGCCTCCTAAACCCAAGCCCTGAAATCAGCCTCAATTTAAATCCTGGCTGTACCACATACTAACCATATGACATTAGGGTTAACCTCTCTAGGTGTCAGATTTCTCAACTGAAGAATAGAATAGCTTCAGCATCATAGGGTTGTCCTAAGATAAGTAAGATGTTATATATAAAATAGCATAGAATATGGCATATAGAAATGTACAGTAAATGGTAGCTATTATCATTATCTACGCAAATTTCCTTCCTTTATTAAGCCCTACCTCATAAAGTAACCCTTGCCAGAATGTTCTATAAATAACAACTTTATTAAAAGCTTCTCAAAAGGAAATGCATTTGTTTGTGTCTTTGTTTAACACCAGGCTCCCAAAGCTTTGAATAATGCCTGGTGCATATCAGGCACTTAGTAGATCTTTGTTAAATAAATGTTGTTGAATTAAGTCTATTCCATTCCATCTGAGTGCTAAAATGCTATTATTTTCTGTGGATGAAAACAATAGAATAATTGGGAGAGATTATAAAATAAAAATAATGCAACCTGTGAGCATTTAAATCCAAATTTCAAATCATTTTATGTCCTAGTATCAGAAAATTTGAATATTCTTTATTTTGCCCCTTCAGGATCTGGGTTGAATGAATGCTGGCAAACATAGTGAGAGATGGGGTAGGTGTAAGAAAAAATAAAAAAAGACCCAAAGAATTTAGACTTAGCATGATATCTCTGCCTCTTTCATTGAGCAGAAGTTTTGTCTCCTTTTTTGTATTTTCCACAGTTCATCTTTTTATATTTCTCACCGGGCTCCATTTGATTAGCTGCTCAGTGTACCTACACTCTCAAATCACACCTAGTTGCATTGTTCCTTATGGCAAAATGTGCTATAGCTTCCAAGTTGCTATCATCCACAACTTTTGAAACTCACTTGGCTACATAAAAACTGATTTTTTAAAAAAAAACATGGTGAAATAATACCTTCCTCTGTAATGTCTAAAGCATTCGGGAAGCTTAAAGCAAATGAAGCAGTTAAGGCTTATTTGTTCAAAGAAGGCTCTGATTTGGCAATTCATCAATTTGAAAAGCAAAACATCATTATATGGGACTTAGAATAAAGCATCTTAGTAGTGTACCAAGCAGGACTTCAGACTGGTTTGGTGCCTAGGCTAATGGCATCGCAATTATGATGCTCTCTAAATGAAATACAAATTGCTTCAGTTTTTGCCTGTACATGTTCATACGGGACCTCAGCTCTCTGGCAAACTTCCTCCCAAGTATTCTGGAAGACCCCGGGGTGCTGGAGAGACATGGATGGATTTGACTTGGTAGGGCGGTAGACTAAAAAGGACTTGATGATGGATTGGCTAAGTGAGAAGGATAAAAAGGAGAAGGGCTTTCAGGTAACTGGCTTTGAGGACCAGGATAGATAGTGGTGCCAGTTAGTGAGATGGGGGGTGGGGGGGGTGGGTTATGGGGAACTGAAGAAGAACTGGTTTGGGTTGCACAGAAATATAAACTAGTGATCTAGAAAATTTGCAGGCGTTGGGAGAAGATTTCACATAGAAAGTGGAATAACAAAATGAGTTCAGTCACTCAGGCTGTGGCGCTGGCAGAATGGGCGAGTGTCCAAGCCCCCGTGCTGCCAGGAAGCTCCACAGCCATCGGCAGGACCAGAAGTGGCACAATAAGCAGTACAAGAAGGCACACTTGGGCACAGCCCTGGAGGCCAACTCCTCCAGGGGGTGAGTCCCACGCCAAGGGCATTGTGCTGGAGAAAGTAGGGGCCAAAGCCAAACAGCCTAACTCTGCCATCAGGAAGTGTGTCCTCGACCAGCTGACAAAGAGTAGCAGGAAGACCACAGCCTTCATGCCCAAAGACAGCTGTTTGCACTTCATTGAAGAGAATGATGAAGTTCTGGTTGCTGGATTTGGTTGGAAAGGTCATGCCATTGGTGATATCCCTGGAGTCTGCTTTAAGGTGGTCAAAGTAGCTAATGTCTCTCTTTTGGTCCTGTACAAAGGCAAGAAGGAAAAACCAAGATCATAAGTTGTGATGCTGGAAACACTGCAGTAATAAATTTTCATATGCTAATAAAAATAAATGAGCTCAAGAAAAAAAATATAAAATTTCCCAGTTATATGATACTTAAATTCCTTTTTTATACATTTAAAAATGCAATGTATTTTAAATTGCCAATACTTAAGATAAACTGAAATACTAGACTCATTATTACTATTAAATTTATGATGAAAAGTATTAGTGACAACTTTATTTTTTTTTATTTATTTATTTATTTTTTGAGTTGGAGTCTCACTCTGTCGCCCAGACTGGAGTGCAGTGGCCGCTCCCGGTCACCACAGCCTCGACCTGCTGGGCTCTGGCGATCCTTCCGCCTCAGCCTTTGAGTAGCTGGAATTACAGGCATGTGCTACCACACCCAGCTGATTTTTTGATTTATTGTAGAGATGAGGTCTCGCTGCCCAGGCGGGTCTCGAACCTTCAGGCTCAGGCAATCCACTCACCTCAGCCTCCCAAAGGCACAGGATTACAGGCTGAGCCACTGAGCCCAGCTAGTGACAACTTTACAGTGAGTGAGTAGATAGTTCTTCCAAGATATTTTAGGGAGTACATAAGCAAAAGTTTGGAAGACCACTGAAAAAAACCTAGGAAACATCCTACTCTGCATGAAGAAGTTCTAATATCATATGATATGTCTAGCAATAGAAAGGTTAAAGCATTTTTCAAAAGCCTCCTGCTTCTGTGGCAAACTACACACTAGTGTATTTCAGAGTTGAGGACAGTAAGTCCTTTAGTCAACTAGGAAAGCCAGGGTCACAAGTACATAAAATATGAGGCCAGGGTGAAGATACATAAGCAGTATTTCATCTTGTTTCCTATTTTTTTATAGCTTATGTGCCAGTCTAATGCTTAGCCATTTCCATTAGCATCACCAGTGAACCCTACTGAATACTACCTGACATTAAGGGAGCAAAACATTGTCTCGCTGCTAGGGTTAGGCAGATGCATAGAGTAATGTGACCCTGCTGCCCTGCATAAAGCGTCACTCCTGCTGAGTGAACAGCAATGTATCGGGATAGGGGCATCATGACAGAAGGTGAAAGGATGTCAAAGCTTAGCATGGGAAAGGTGGTATAGAGCAACAGACTACTGAAAGATGAATGTGCAGACAGATTTTAATTTCAACAAATATTTAATGAGCACCTACTCTGAGCTGGACCATCAGCAACATTGAAGTGATTGTCTTCAAGGCTGGCCACATGATAGAGCATTTTTAAAAACAACTCTGGGCTCCCCAGCAACTGCAGTCACCAGCCAGAATAAGGACTCACATCAATGTATAGAAAAATATTATTTTTCATTATTGAATAAAATTGAAAACACCTCCAGAGCCATCATCTCAAATTCTCCAAAGGACAAAGATGTCAGAACATATATGAGTTATGTGTTTGTATACATAGATGGGTTATTAACATGCAAGCATTTCCTGTCTTGGAACACTCAGAATCATGAGTATACTAAAATTGGTATTTAATGTTTCATTCTCAGTCTCTGCTACTGGAGATACTATTCCTCTGCAGCTTTTCCTGCCTTTATTTCTGTGTCCACACAAGACTCTTTCAGATTGCTTCCCCCACCCCACCCACTCCCACTACAAAGCTGTTCGGGTAGCACGAAGAAAGTGCAGAACAAAGAAACATACTTGATGCTGGTCTGCTTCCTGCACACACCTTTACTAATAGGTTCAACTATTAATAGATACTGTAATTTTTACTGTCTTTGCAAAAAATAATTATGATAAATTTATGTTTTCTTTTATTCTCTCAGGCTATTCCTATAGGACTCCTGCATCCCTATGCTAGATGGGAGGAGAGTGAGTTTTGCCTATCCTAGTGATAAATGACTTGCCAGTGATCTAATTTGTAAATAGCCTTGAATTTAAGAGCATTATCTAACCATGCTAATAGGTATGCATTTTATATCTTAGATGGGTAATTGGAGAGATTCTTTAGACCCCTATTCTCTATAGATTAGTTTTCCAGGAGATGAAAACAATATGAGTGTTTTTATTTTAACTATGGTGGTAGGAAATTATTCTAAAATATAAATGCATTATAATAGAACACAAGGCTGATATTTAACCTTTTGTGACTGAGAGTGATCATAATCATCATCAGTTGTTATTTAGAGACACTGGTGCTGAAGTCTCTTGATTTCCATGTTCTATGGCTCCCAGATGCTGTTTTTTTGTCTTTAGGTCAGTTTTTGTATTTCCTTTTTGCTCTTAGTTACACTAATACAAGCGAGACACACTAATCAAGCGAGACACACTAATCAAGCGAGACACACCAAATGTCTGTGGTAAACTCTTTGCTCCCTTCTAAATGTCTATCCTTCTAAGTTACTCAAACACAACGATAGAAAATGATAGATGTTTATCAGGGAGAGGAGGGAGAGAAGGAGAAAGTTATTACCTAAAAAACTAGATTACCACACTAATTATTAGAATTATTTCTAGATTATGCACAAATTCCTGAAGAAGTAAGTTACTACAGTCTAGATTCTATAGCATTGCTCTTGGCAACCTGGAAATATGTTTGCCTATCTCTTATTCCAGGATGGGTTGTAGACAGACTGTGTGTGTCTATCTATGTGCATGTATAATTTAATCAACTAAGCCATCAAACCACTTTTAAAATTCATCTTTTAATTTCCTCCGTCCACATTTGGAAATAAACTTCTGAGAGAATAATCAGTTGTCTATGTACTGCTCAATGATACCGTCACACATAAAAGCAATCCTATTGGTAAGAGACTACTCATGGTGTCTAGTAATAAAAGCACTCACTTAAGAATGTGGTAGTGAGTAGTTCATTCTAGATTAGCACTGAAACATATCAGATAGAAACTCATAGTATCTTTCCCAGATGATTTTGGACATAGACCTTCATCTAATGTGGAAAAAACACTGATTGATAACCATGTTGGTTTCATGGGATCTGCCTCCAGTCCATTGGATACCTGAGTGAACCTTCCTACATGCAAGCTCACCACACAATCCCACCTTGCTCAGCATTTTTCTATGCATTCCCTGACCTGCAGCTGCCCCTTCCCTTACCTACCTACAGATGAGTATCTACCTGTTGTTCAAGTCTTAGTTCAAATGCTGCCTCTTTAAAGAAGCTTACCTCCCAGGAAGATCTGATGCTCTTTTCTCTTTTGCTCCCATGGTACTCCATACACATCTGTAATATAATTGCAGTATGCGTGTCAGTGACCAAGGTCTAATGCCAGATGCACAGTAGGCATTCAAAAATACTTTTGAATGACTAATATCCAGATATTTTGTTGTCACTAAAATTCCAGATGAAATTCTGAAACAAATCACATCTTCCAAATAACACCTTCCAACAGATTATTCCTACTAGAGCCTGTCTTCTGTGGGATATGTGCTATATATCACTGAGATATCTTAGTTTTGAAACAATAAGCAACTAGAAAGCAGCTACTATGCTATGAAGAAAGACCGGCTCTGCATTTACAAATAATACTATCATAACTTGAAAAAGGTGTTTAACTCATTCTACTTGAAGTAATTATTTCACACTAACAAGACAGTTGAGAATTGCCTATCTGTGTGACTAATGGACAACAGATGAGGAACTGTGATGTTGAAATCTTTATAGAGTGTGAATATATTTTTATAGCTCTGACTGTATGAACTGTTGAAGTGGATATAAGCAAATAGATTTTTAAGTCATTGGAAGCTATTGAAGTTACTTTGATAAAGTATATCTTACCAGTTTATTGCAACAAAAATGGTTTTATTGCCATAAAATGAATAATTTCAAACTTATAAATTGTGGAAGCAAAGCACACTGAGCAAAGCCTTTTTAACCAGATTAATAATATCATCTTGTGCATATACACATAAAGTTTTCTGTTCAGAGAGGATGGTTTTAGCAATATGTGGCTATGACTATTTTTATTTTTTGTTTTATTTTTATTTTTCTAAGTATATTTTAGATTTTTATTGCTTATATGTATTTAATTTAGACTTCATAAAATTGTATATTTATAAATATAAAGGTTTTTCTTTTTTTATTTTATTATAGAGATGTGGGGTACAAGTGAGGACACAGGTGAAGTTTGCATACAAGTGAAGTTTGGGCTTCGAACTGCTCCTCATTTCCCTGGTTATAAACCTGGTACCCTTTGTGTTATCATGTGCTCCCCACCCTTCTCTCTCCCTTCTTCCCTCTAGCAATGGCCACTGATTGCCTATCTCTCCCTTGTATGCATGTGATTATTGCTCAGGACCCACTTATGAGTGAAAACATGCAGTATTCAGTTCTTTGTTTCTGTGATAAATCACTTAGTATGATGGTCCCCAACTCCATCCGATTTGCTATGAAGTTCATGAGTTTGTTCCTCTTTATGACTGCATAATACTCCATCATGTATATGTATCACATTTTCGTTGTTTGGTCCACTGGGCAGTAAGGTTGTTTCCATATTTTTGCTATTGTGAATAGTGCAGCAATAAACATGCATGCACTGGTGTCTTTTTTCTAGAACAATTTATGCTCTTCCGGGTAGGTTCCCAGGAGAGGATTGTTGGATTATATGGAAGGTCAGTTTTTAGTAGTTTTAGGAATCACCACATCACTTTCCATAAACATTGAACTAGTTTGCACTTCCACCAACAGTGTAGAAGCATTCACTTCTCACCACACCCATGCTAGCATCTGTTGTTTTATGACGTATTAATTATAGCCATCCTTACCAGAATTACATGGTATCTCATTGTACTTTTGATTTGCATTTCTCTGATGATTAATGAGGCTGAGAATTTTTTCATGTATCTGTTTGCTGCTTGTATGTCATCTTTTGAGAAGTGTCTGTTCATATCCTTTGCCCAATTTATAATGGGTTTGTTTTTTTTTTCCTTTCACTTCATTTTAGTTCCTTGTAGATCCTGGTTGTTAAGCCTTTGTCAGATAAATGATTTGCGAATATTTTTTCCCAGTCTGTGGGTTGTCTCCTTATTCTCTCGATTGTATCTTTTG